AATTCGAACCCAGGACCTTCTTGCTGAGAGGCGAGAGTGCTAACCACTCAACCACCGGGCCGCCTACAAACAAACCTAATTGTTTTACTGTAGTTGCATTTTAAAAAGCCCTACTATTATGGAATATACTGAGTTGAAATGACTGAATATTTGATTGTATCATGAGTAATCCTGGCGTAATAACAAATGCTTATGGACAAAATCCCAAATCACAATCCCAGTAAAGAATTGATATGGTTTTATAATCATCACAATTATTGATTAACTAAACAATATTGAAACCACAGCTCTTTCATATCTCTGTCTTGTCATCTCTGGAGGAAGAGTGTTGCTATTGTGAAAGTAAAGGGTTTTCTTTGAGTGAGGCCAGGCTAATTTCAAGTACCACTCTGAGAACTGCACAAGGAACCTGCTGTATACTGTATGACTATTATTTACTACTAGGACTATAGTGCAGGAAATAATAAGTCACTCTTCTCAACACATGAATGAGTCAAATTAAAGTCAGTGCACACACCCAGGCTAAAAATAACTAGTATCAGTTTATCAGCTGAAACTACAGAGAGTCCTCCTGTGGTGCCATCAGAAATAGTCATAAAAGTATTAGATTAGAGTAGATATAATGTTATTAATCCTGAAGGAAAGTCTTGTGCCAGAGAGAGCTTTGAAATCACTTGAGTGCATACATATAATGACAAAATAAATGAATAAAATGCTTCTAAATGTATCAGACGTTGAATTCATAGATAAGGAATGTTTATGTGCCAAAAAAAAATTCAGCCACTACCAATCTACTAAAAAAATGAGTTTAAAACGATTACTTTTCCTTACTAAGAGTTACAGAAAAGTAAAATAATATTAGGTGTATATGCAACTCCAAAAGGACAAAATGTGATGGATCTGTATTCATTTTATTATCTATATTTCAAGTTTTATATTCTGTTCAGCAATCCCACACTTAATCATGTATTTTGACTGCACTTTGAATTGCCCCATGTATAATGATGATGACGACTATTGGTATTTCTAATCTGGCATGCAACATCTATTTCACAAAGTACATAAAAAAAAAAAAAAAGTTTAAAAACAGTGGTTTGATTCATAAACGTGGGTGTGGTAGAAGGGACACGGAAAAGCTACTTGGACAGAACTCTGTGAGACGAGAAAAACATTTTCTGAAGAAAGAGTACTGTCATTACTTACGACATATTGTGCAAACTGGAATAAAGTATGCAATCCAAATACTTTAGAAGCAGCATATATCATAATATTTGGGACGTTTTTTCATCATAGTTCCCATAGTGACACATTTACCACCTCTCATGAAACGGACTAATAAAAAGGGGAGGAAAAAGAAGGAATGAACTTTCTCAAGAATTTACAATGGACATATTCACATAAAGATAAACAAGAACACATGTCAAACAACTATCATGAATAATAAATATGTCTGGTTAATAACATACGAGTACATTAGCAGTATTTCTATTCTAAATTCATGTTAAGCGTATATAATGTACAGCGAGTCCCAGTCGGACGAGATGCGCCCACACGACCTGTTGGAGCAGTTTTCAGGCATCTGTACAGCTGCTGTTGTCAATCTCAACAAAGTTATTGTCAACTCAAACTACAGAGAAGCACCACACGGAACACAAAGCACGCCCGGTATCGTTTTGGGCATCACGATCAGTTCTGTAGGTCGGTGGTGCTCAGAACAGAAATGTACAATTTAGAAATGAATGCTAATTATATTGAAGAACTTAATTTGTTCTGTATTATTATTATTATTATTATTAAGCAGTCCCAGAGAGGCTTCACTATCAATAAAAAAAACAGATTATTTAAGATGTTTGGCCGTAGTTTGACAAACGCTGTACAATATTGAATCTTATATTTATTCAAAATAAAAGTCAAGATGGTTTTACTGTAAAAAGAAAAAAACCTTTTCAAATTCTACTTTTGTATCTTGTTTATGTTATGCTATGTGAAAAATACAAAATGTGTACTACTACTACTACTACTACTACTACTACTACTACTACTGCGCCACACTTTAGTCCAATAGCGTAAAAGATTTGACAAAAAGTTTAGGAATTTTATGAAAAAAGTAACATCTTTTCCTTATAAGACAATAACTTGACAGATAGGATGCGGATGATGTCCATTGTATCAACAGGTCAAGTAGAAGTCACATGGCAGAAAAAGGTTTGGCAGTATATAGGTCAAGAGGACAGTTGACCCAGGCAGAAGTGTTTTTAAAGACACATACACCTTTATTTCACTATTGTTAGAAATGATGACGTGCATTTCCCCTTTAACATCTATTACAGCTTTGAGTCGTCTGTGCTACTTGTGGATGAGTTTTTGCTGTTTTTTTTTAATCCTCTCTAATGATAAAGCTGCTCATTCTATTCGGTTTCAGTGCATTCCTGAGTCCCCAGAACGGCTCAGTTATGTTATGTTGGGTGTGTAAACTTTCAAGCCCAACTATATGTCCAAGATACAAGGAGAGTAGAATTTACAATGAGATTCTTGAAATATTAGTGACATTTTTCAGTCAAATCAAACTCGACCTCTTCCATCCACTTTGCTAAACTTCCATGTGTGAGACCATCTTCCCGATTCCCCAGTCATGCTATGGGCTGACCCACATTCAGGCTAATTGCTCTTCTGCTTATGACAAATGCGGCACGCAGCACGGTGAGGCCGGCACCAAACTGCTCCACAGCAAAAGGCTTCAGCTCGTTTTGGGACCGGGCCCAGAGTCACATCGCCATGGAGACGCCGGCTCCATTGTGAGGTGAGAATTACTGCACTTGAGAGGCTCTGGCACGTCTACAGTCCTGGGTCTTTCCATTCAGCCTGGCCCCCAAATGGGAGAACGCTTATACAGAAGGCTTTCTAAAAGATTCAGCTATGTAAAGTTAGAAAGATGCAGAGGTGGCAAGTAGCTGAGTATTTGTACTGAAGTATTTTTTACTAGTTTTTCCACTTTTACTCCTTACTAATAAAAGTAAAGGAGTAAAGGAGTAAAGTGGGTCACTTTTAAAACCCTGTCCTTTCTACTTTTCTATTTCCTTATTATTTTCAAATGATTTGTTTGCAGCTGGCCACACAACATAAGAACAGGATTGAATTGATTAGCTAAGCTTCTAAGTGGGTAAACTCACTGTGATTAGCCACGCTTCTAAGTTTGGAAAAAATACATGTTGAGTTTTTACATGATTTGTCATATTCTGAATGGGGGAAAAACAAATGAAATGCTTAAAATGTTCAAAAACATAAAAAAGTAAAGTGCATCTACTATAGTACACACAAAAACATTACCTCTATGTTTTAGGGAATTGTGTCAGTACTTTTACTATTTCAAAAGTACACACTAGTATCTACACTTATACTTGAGTACTGAATTCTTTTTGCCACCTCTGGAAATGTGCACAGAACTTCACAAAACATGCAGATAACGTGTACAACAATAGTAAATATAGTTGTGTGTGTTTGAAAGTGTAAGAAGGTATAAAATAAAACACATGCTTTTTCTATGAATATTAGACGTCACGGGCTGGTAACCTTTCAACAACAGGTGCACGCAACGTAAGCGAAACTCACCTGCGGACTCCCGTATCAGCAAAATAATAAGATCAAAAGTGAAAGCAGCGCTGGCGAATGGCATATACACTTGTCAAAATCATGTTTTCCAGGCAGATTCACAGTTATGGTTCCCTGTTTCCCCTGGCTTGACGTCGGGGGAAGCGCAGGTAGCAGCTGGAGGCTTGTTTGGGAGTGGCCCCTGTGCGCTGCTTTCTCTTTAACCCTTTCCTTTCCTCTGCTTCAAAAGCCACTCAGCCGCTACAACCTGTTCCTAACCAGTTTTCTGAATCACATTTGACGTCCTGCATGTATGTGAGAAAGTGTTTACCCTCTAAAAACAACGAAATACATACACATATGCAACGCGTTTTCTCTATTTATCCAAATTACGCACAGCCATCCAAACAAAAAGTGTAGTAAAGTATACATACACGCCCTCCTGAGCCAGTGGAAACTTTAGCAGAGTAAAAAGCCGGCTCCCTCTCTCACATCAGCTGCTTGTGCTGTGGTATGTCAGAATAGAAACACCTCTTTTCCAATTGAAAGGAACAACCCGCCATTCATATGCTGATGAGCCAGTGAGCACATATATAGTCCACAGTCCAATGTGGAGTCAGGACTTGGGCAGAAATTGTACAGAGTTGTGCAGGGGACTGTGGGAGAAGTTATTATTTAAAAACAAGGGCAATATGCTCGGTCTAATATTAAAGATGGTTCTGATGAGAGGACAAGCTTAATAGGCAAGACAAAATGATGTTATGGTAACTGCACAAACAATACTCCTTCCATACTGTAATTATATTAAATTCCACTCATTTTTTTTAACTCTCTCAACAAAATGCAGTCTGCAGAGTTATGACAATGTGAGGTTTAAAGTCCAGTACTAAATAGGCTACATGAATACAGTGGGAATTATATTGTTTTTTTTACCCCATAATTTTTAAGTTATATTGACCATGTGTTCATTATCAAAAGTTTTTCTAATGCAGATACATGTAACACTTCTATTATTACTAGATATACTCAAAAGCAGAATATCATATAAATGTCTATATGATTGGATTGATTCATACATTCATACATTTTAGTAATTTATTTTATATAAGAATGAAAGAAGTTGTTCGTGGTAAAACATTACAATAAAGATCAATCCTTGAAATGTGTGATGAATCTATTTAAAATCAGTATATAATTAGGTATTTAGGTATTTGTGTGCAAAAATGTGTGGCGTGGTACTTAAGTGGACTAAAATGCATAATTTAATTAAAGTCAATAAAGGAAGCAGTATATATAATAAAGTTCACTTTCTGAAAGGACCGGGAAAACTTAATTCACTGTGTACACATCATTTTGTTTACAACTCAACTGCGCCCTCTCCTGTTCAAAACATATAATCACCACACTCTTACCTTCCTGGGGGGTGGGACAACAGGGTAAGTTGTACTCATGCTCTGCTTTTTAATGTCTTTCTTCTTTGTAATCTCATATTTGTGTGTTTTGTTGGATCCACATTTAGTCTCAGCGTCCGGTTTAAAAGTGGGTAATCCTTCTTCGTGAAATAAAGTTGGTGTTGGGGGAGGCGGGAACTCAAAACTGTCATCGTCCAAAGTCTCTGCTTGATGTTTGAAAGTCATCAGTTGCAATTTTACTTCTTTACCAGAGTTTCTGTTAACTTTAGCCTGAGGTTTTGCATACAGGCAGAAGTCACTATCCAATTTGGAAGAAGATTCATTCAAGTTATTTGCAAAACTACTGCTGTCAATTGGAGGAATTTGCTTCACAAAATCCTCACCTGGCAAACATAATCCAAAAGTGGAAAACCTATGCTTGGATCCAAATGATTCTCTCACTGGCATCAATGTTTTCATATCTGCACATTTTTCTGATTTATCGTCCCTTATACAGGTTGCATTCTCTTTACCACTTTCAGACTTCTTCATGTATAATGCAGGGACGTAAAAAGGGGCAGAGTTCAGATCCCTGCACACGTGCCACCAGTGATCGTTGGTTTTGGTGATGAGGAGGAAGCTCTCGTTGGGTTTGATGGAGATGAGACGGCCTTTTCGAGTGGTGTATTCAAACTCATGTTCCACAGAGACCACCTCCATGCTTCTCTGTGCAGGGCTGGTCAAGGAGATGTCAACATCCTGAAACTGAAAAGAAGAAATGTGTTCAAATCTGACATATAATAAGAGCTAAAAATATAATAAAGAGTGATAGCAGTGTCTCAACTTTCTACTATCTATATTTTGTATTTCGACAAGGAATATGATGGTAAATAAGGAATAAAATGGTTAAAAAAAACTGTTGGGATTATGGCTTTGTGGAACAAGAAAACAAGAATTTCAGACACTGCACCAACTTGAAAAATGACATAGGAAGTGCATAGATTGTTAGCCACAATTCTGTCAGTCTACCCCAGGGCAGCTGTGGCTATGTCAAAGAATAATGCTTGAACTATTGCGCTAATATTTGACATTGACCATCTGGAAAAGGCGTATGACCTCTACTCCATTTATGTTATGATTGAGAAATATACATGTTTGAAATGATCATCTGGTTGACCAAAAATATATATGAGTAGTATTTACAGTTGTGCTCTTAAGGCAATATAAGCTGAGAAAATTTATGATTTATTAGCTATTATTCAGAAAATGTGTAACTACTCTTAGATCGGGAAGGGCCCATGCCTGTTTTTGACATGATGGGTCTGTTTCCTCACAACAACAAAAAGTTTTACATTCCTAAAACCAAATAATTAAAAATGTGAAAATGGTAACACAGTGTCCAATAAAAAAATAAATAAATAAACATATCAGACATCAGTTTGAAGCATTTTTAAAGTAAAAGGTGCTGTGAACTTGTATTCCGAGAGCTCCAGTTAAGCAAACATGTCAGATAATCAGTCTTTTTTATAAATAAATATATCACAATGTTGCTTTCTTCAAACAGCCAGCAAAGGCCAACTACAAATGATAAGAGATTTAGTTTCTATCTTAGTCTTCGGTTTGGTAAAGCCATGTATCAAGTACCTTTAGCTGCCATCTAAACTTGGGTCAACTTCCATCCATCCATCCATTTTCTTCCCCTTAATCCATTTCTGGGTCGGGGGGGTGGCAGTCAGAGCTGCACCCAGTCCACAGAGCACCAGCCCCTCACTGATCCTCCTGCAGGTGGTGAGTCCACAGGAGCTGAGATCTTTCAGTGGGGGCTTGGGTCAACTTGTGAATCCAAAATCACCGAGCATAACTTATAACTGAACAAACACAAGGCTTCATCCAACCACCAAGTTTTTGCTTTATCAAATCATCCACCCATTTTCTTCCGCTTTACCTGGAGCCGTGTGGTGTAGTAAACGTCTGTATCCACACAGACTGAACAAGGCCATGAAACTTAACATAACCAGTGCCATCAAATCAATCTATGAGCAAAACTGTAGCTTTAATCAGCCAACACAAAACTAAAAAACGGATTATGTTTTATTCTGATTAGACAATTACGGTGATGGAGTTATAGTACCGTGGTAATCAGAAGAAAGTGACAGGATGTTTGCTTCCATTTGCTGCGAGACTGACGGCTCAATAGCACTGATGCAGCAGACGAAAGCTCCGAGCCACAGAACAGGAAGTCTGCACCAATAGCAGCATCATGTAGCAATCTCAGCCTTCTACACGACTACAAACACATGACTGGACAAAATACAAGAGCAAAAATACTGCATACTTAATACGTCAGTGAATTATGTTTTGTGTATTCACTTATATTGAGATTTAAAGATTGAACAAGTGACAAATTTCAGTAATAGCACTTCTAAAAACATAATTTAATTGTCTGGAAATCTCTTTAATACAGTAGGTCTGTGCTGCTCAATGGCAAAAGCAAGAAATATATGATTATTTTGACATTTAAAAACACATTCTATGGATATGTGTCACTCTCTATGGATTAATGGCTTCTATGTTTTTGTAATTATTTAATTTCTGTGTTTGATCTGTATGATTTTCTGATCTGCTGAAGGCGAATCGACAACTTTGTAAAGTCCACCGAGACGACTGCTGTTGTGATTTAAGGCTATACAATAAATACATTTAATTGAGTTTCACAGCCACTTACTATGACCAATAAAACAAAAGAAGAGACACATTGGGCTATAATTAAGAGATCCTATATTCGTCCCACAAAAGGGGATATTTCAGTGTTGCATCGCCGGCTACAGAACAGTGGGAATGAGGAACACACAATACAAGATAAATGAACAATAACTCTATACTAAGATCCAATTAGAATTAAAAAAAAAAAAAAACTCTAAAGAGGCAAGCATAAAATCTCTAGCTTTGGCATAAAATCTAATCCAATATATATACGTAAATGCTATTAATGTAGAAACTGTGGATCTATAATAAAATGCACTTACGTTATTCCAGGCGTCTCTGTCTGGGCTGATGTCTGAAGAAAACCTGACACACCTAAAGGAGTTAAAGGACTTATGAAGCTTACAGGTCTGGTCTATGCACACGAGAGCTACAGTGCTGCTTCCTGTTCGCGCTCTATATGACTGCCTAACGTGCGAATGTGGCTGAGAGCAAAGAGCACTCAGAAAACCACAAGAAAATGGGAAGTTTCTGCTCAAATTCCACAGTAAAAGATTCATATACTGTATGCGTGATTGGTCATGAGTGGGCGACACATGGAATTTCTACTTCATGATGTGTTGCTTTAGAAAGACTAATATTGTTTAAAAATCACTATATTTATACCCATGTCATGGAGCTGGGTCATGAAACTCAACGAACAGAAAAAGCCAAATGTACTTTCGGCAACAGGAAAAATGTCAGTATAAGAAGTAAATAAGAAAAGATAAAATAGAGGCAAGCAAGGATCTATAAAACAGCTTTTTTGTGTTCTGCATTGTACTATTGCATTTCCTTTGCCATGGGGTAATGTAATTAAGATTAAGATTAAGATTAAGAGATCCTTTATTCGTCCCACAGTGGGGAAATGTCAGTGTTGCATCACAAGTTCTAGAACAGTAGGAAAGAGGAGCACAAGTTAAGCACCAGGGTTTGTTAGTCAGACTTAGCTGGCGACAAACAAAAATCAAGTTAAGTGCAGGGTTTTAAGAAAATAAATTTAGAAAAGTTTGGAAATGGGACAAGGAACAAGGAATGGGACAGGATTTTGGAGGTTATCCGGATCAAAGCCGCCTGGATCCGGGATATTTGTGTTTACAGAACGGCACTGCACCTCTTCTAAACTACTTTTCCCCATATAAAGTTAAAGGAGGGCCACAAAACTTTCAAACTGCACAAAATGTACTAGTTCCTGGCTATAAACAGTTTGGGTCTTTCTACTTTGTCAAATGCCTGTATTTTTTGGCCTCTGTCGCTTTAGCTTTTTCACTCCATCAGCTGTGTACCCAAAGCGTCAAATTGTGAAGGGCAGACCTTATGTTGAAACAAACTACATCTACCATTATGAAACCGAAAAGTTAGGTACCTCAGCTTTAAAAGACAAGGTACAGGTGACGTAGTAAATCCACTTGAGGTCGCTCTGAACCATGGATCTATATGCAGTCCATCTGATCCATACAAACACTTGAATTAACTGCCTTCAACCCAATTAAAACAGACTCCACTTAAGCAAGGCATTCGAAAAAGTCTAATCTGATTTTAATGTGGTTAAAAATGACAAATAAAATGGGACCGCATCATCCGTGCTCACCGTTCAGAGGCTGCATCCAAAATCCTACACAAAAGTCCCTTCCTTATCCTTCCTTCTTGATGATAGCTTGTTCAATATTTAACTAACTTGCAATTAAATGTTATTAAAATATATCAACTTTTACTTAAGATATTCAGGGGCTGCCGTGTGTTAGAATTTGTCAGTAAAAGATCAATGAAGGGTAGAGAAGGGTCCGGTTTGAGACTCAGGTGGAAGTTCGATTCTCCGACATACACTTCTCACTCAGGGTTGTGCTGGTTACACCGCTGACTGAGATAAAAAAAAAAATAAAAAAAAAACAGAGTGGTGTAAAAGTAAAATGTTGTGAATAAACCAGATCACAACTTGCTAAATCTCATCAGAAAACAACCTCACATAATTTTAAGAGCCCAGTGAGTCAAAAATAACAATTGTAAACCGCTTTGTGACTCTGGTCTGTGAAAGGTGGTTTATAAATAAAGATTACTTACTCACTATTTGACTTTTTAGGATGAGAGCTGACTTTATGTTTGAAAAAGCTGATAAAGGTGTGGAAAAGGCCAAAACAATAATGCAAGTGACATTTAGTTAGAGGAATAGATTAATTTTATTATATAGTTTAATGTTTGTGATTTGAAAATGAGGTACTCCAGCTTTGAATATCTACGATCTAACCTTGAGATTGTGGGGTCTGTCATACAATTGCCTTTCAAATCCAATCCACTTTATTTATATAGCACTTTTATAAAACATTTTTCCAAAGTGCTGCACACATACAAGTAGCACATTGAACTATACAAGTCTGCCAGCTTGAAATAAAAACAAAATAATTATCTATATGCTTAATAGTGGTCTCTATACACACACTGGTACCATCCATTGTAAACTGCGCCATAACTTTCTGATACCCGTCTGATGCATTGCTATAAACACAATATGAACACACTACAAGGTTTGGTTTAGAGATTGTTGAACGTTTATTGAGAGAACACAACCTTTGGAAGAAAATAAAATATAATAAAACAATCAAGGCATTACAAAATAGCACTAGAATAAGAGTGTGTTTAAATCACAGATCATGGCAGTGATGTGCAAAAACTGAATCAATACTGAAGCGTAGACACAACAATTAAACTTCCACTGAACAAAGTCGACGTGTTAATGTAAATAATAAATACACAATCCCTGCAAAGCCCTATTTTATAATTTAATTTGAACACAAACATATTCAGACAAAAGAATTGGAGTGGAATATATAAAAATGGTCTGAAATCTCAATATATCTAACCCAGTCTAAAACTTGGTTAGTCTTGGTCCTTTTACACCCAAATGTGATTGTGCAAGTATATTTTGGTCACATGTTACAAATATAAATATGAGTCAATATTTTGTATCAAAACTAAGGCAGGTCAATGTATTCTGGTGCTGTACAGTTAAAGCTGGGGTACCTAAACTTTTTCTTTCATACTTTTTGTTTGTCACAGGAGAAACTCTTGTAAGAGAAAAATCTTATAAACAAATCAGACCAGACAAATTTTTTTTTTTCAATTTGGACAGAGAGAAGATTAGATAAATTAGGGAACTTTTATTTTTCACTTATATGTCTGAAAAATCTGATTTAATGACGCAACTAGGGCCACATTATACACACATGTAAAAACTAGGGATAGAGAACCATGTAGAGAACCAACATAATTTAGTGGTTTTAAAAGTTAGGTACCCCAGCTGTAAGTTACTAGTATTTTCGCACAATTAACATCTGATAAAATGCACTAAAAACAGTTTTAAAAGTGTCTCTGTGCAATCTCGACTCCACTAGTTTGGTTTTCAAATAGCCTTGACATCTATCAGGTGGCTATGCTGTGTTCCTTGTCGTAAAGTCTTAATTCCTTGCAGTTTTCGTCCGTGGAGGGAGAAGCGCGACCAGGCAGTGAGCTGGAGGAGGGCACAGGTGATAGGCACAAACACCAGCATGTAGAAGCAGCCGATTCTCAGGGGGGGCGACCCGGCAGCGGAGGCCACTTCAGGCAACGGGGCCACCGAGTCCGGCTCTGGAGGCCTCTGGAAAATGTCATAACCTGTGAAGAAAGGAAAGATAATATGAATAAAAAATGAATGGTTTTTGATTTAAAAAAAATAAAAGAAAAAAGCAGTTTGTTTCTTTGGGATAAAAATGAAAAGAAAAACAGTACAACAGTTAATATTTACCGTTTAGTCCACCAATTCAATTCAATTTAAAATGCACAACAAGCATAAAATGAGGTGTAGAAGGGCACTGTTTATTTTTTGCAGGTGGTGTGTAAATGTACTCAATGTAACAATAAACAATATCTTCACATTCCAAACAAATACTTGGCATCCATCACAGCAATGAGTCTATATAATAACAATAACGCATAGTATTTGTACAGTGCATTTCATGACACACCAAAAACACTAAAATATCCATCCATCCATCCATTTTCCCCTTAATCCATTTCTGGGTCAGGGGGGTGGCAGTCCGAGCTGCACCCAGTACACAGAGCACCAGCCCCTCACTGATCCTCCTGCAGGAGATGAGTCGACAGGAGCTGAGATCTTTCAGAAGTAGGTCTCGCGGTGGGTTCAAACCCACAACCTTCAGGCCCAAAGGCCAGTACTCTACCAACTGAGCCACTGTTGCCCCCTTACACTAAAACATGGCATTATTCATTCACTCTTTTCTCTGTGGTGGGAAACTACTACTATAGCCACAGCTGGCACCCACAGCGAGGCAATAAATCTGTGCCATTGGCCCCTACGACCACTACTTATCATTCACGACACATACAAGGCAAAGGGGGTGAAGTGTCTTGCCTGAGGAAACAACAGTTTGGCGCTTTACAGTCTCAGCAGGCCCCATCGCGCGCCAATATTCACAGAAATGTAATAATAAATAGATTTCCTTGGACAGGATAAACACCAGACCAGAAATACTAAATAACATGCTCTTATAGCTGCTAGAAATACAGTGTCTGTGCGTTTCTATTCATACCTGTGTAAACACATAGAAGCCAGGTGCCGATAAGAGGAGCGAAGGTCTGCCCAGGTTTAGTCAGCAGCGCCACCATCCCGAAGAGGAGCGCGGACGTGGCCTGCTGCCTCTTGTGGAGCACGAAGTCTTCATCCACCAGATCTGAGACCACCAGCTTCAGGAGCTTGCAGGTTCCCTCTGTGAATACTCGATTACTGCGAGGCAAAAGAGGACTGCGGTCAGGTTATTACGAAATATGGAAAATGTATCGATGCAATGAATTATAATTTTAGCATCAATTACCAGTGGATCTCAATGGGCTCTGTGTTTATTTGTTCCAAAGTGGGACTAATGCGGGATCTATTATCTTATCTGAAGTACTGATGTGTTTTAAAAGTCAGAGATTTGTACACACAAGAATACACAAGAAATTATTTTAACATTAAAATTATTACACTAAGGTCTGAGATTGGTCTTAAAACCAACTGGACAGTGGAAGCTTGAAAGTTCACCTGCATTTAACTACCATATTTTTCTGGAGGTGTCATCCCTTACATTTGGCTCTACAAAAAAATATTGGTTTTTGACCCATTGAGAATCACTGGGAGAAGCCCAAGTGTCATTGAGTGAGTTTAATTTCTATTGAAATTCTTAACACTTCTGATGAGGAGTCCTGTTTGTGTGAATGGTGCTGTGTGGTTAATGACACATTTTTACTTGAACGTTTACACACCCTGCCATAGATTTCATTGATATGGCCAAATTGTGGAGATCATGTTTAATGATAACACAACAACTTGATTCCCAGACTTAGTTTGTGGTTGTGTGCAGCCATACGTAAAATAAATGTGTTTTGTATTTTCAAATTACATAATTGAGCCGATGTGTGGAGGGCTTAAAAGTTCAGTTCATGCAAGGTGGCCCTGGAATGTAAAGAAACTGGAAGAATGGGCATCCATAAACTCCAACTGTCATATTGAGAACTTGGGGAGGGAAACTTCGAATTTCTTGTCATCACACATTTACAGTATTTGTGAATAATTGGCTTCACAAACACAAATCCCAAAAATATGGGCAAAAAGAATTGTGACGTCTGCAGCGAGGTGTAAACTTTCAAGCACAGCAGTAAATGAACGGGATAGAAACAGCGCTGGTGTGTAAACATTGCCATACCTAGCAATAAAGATGCACAGCAGGTAAATGTGGTCAGCCCCTGCTAGCAGCATAGCCAGGCTAAGTCCCAGTTTGAGCATAAAGAGCCAGCGTATGACCTGGTAAACCCCATAGCGCTGGCACAGGGTCAGGAAATACAGGTTGTTCAGATGGGGGGCAATGTAAGAGATGCCTGCAAAAGGAGCAAACCAATGTACATAGCAATAAGCGTAGGGTAAAATAATGATTCAAAAAGGGTAAAAACATGCAACATTCAAGGATAACTGAACAGTCTATAAGCAAACCTACATTTGCTTAGAATAGTCTTAAACCATGTCTTAAGGAGCAGGTCAAATTGGGCTAAAACATGGCAACGTGTGCTTAAGACATGATGCAAAATCAAGCCAAATTAGAAAAAAAAGGAGGAAGTTAAAATTAATTTTTTTTTAAGCAAATTAACAATTGTCAATTTGCTTAAAAAAATGTATCTTAAAGAAAAGCATGAGGGGGCTCTTGCACTATAGTAAAATGTATATGGCTTGTACAAAAATACTACACTTTGCCTGAAAAACAATGTAAGAAGTATTGTACATAGCAATCATACCAAGCAGTATAGAACCGGTTGAGGCAGATATATTATCAGACAAAAGGTGTTCCAAAAAAAGAGGGAAGAAGTTGCTGTTGAAGTGACAGTGAAAAACCTGGAAAAGACAAATATCTATTATATCCCTTTGTCTGTATAAATGATAAATAGAAAATATGAATAATGTATAAAATTCACAATAATGTAAAGTATTACCTGGATAAGGTTCATGCAAACAAACCACAGGAAGTTTTTGTGCTTGGAAAGTTGCCTCAGGTATTGCCCAACAGTGACGGGTTTCTCTGATTGATTATGAGGAGCATTCACGCTTAACCTAAAAGACAAATTTGACATTGGAATACTTCAGTTAAGAAACATTAGGGGACACAATACAATGCCACATCTGAATAGAATTGGCTTGCCGACTAACTTATTATGCATTATTTTTGGCAATCACTAATGGTGTAACATGATTAAAGCTCAGTAAGTTGATTTTGCTGTAATATGTATTTAAAGCATCAAATAGACAATAGAAAGTAGAGTAAATATAACGCACTCTTTCAGCGCCTGGGCCTCATCTTGTTTTGGTCGGATTTCTTTCTGAAAGCGGTGACGCAGGAGCCGAGACACAAAGAAGAATCCCAGCACAGAGAAGGTCGCCAAAGCCACACAGAACAGGCGGAAAGAGTAGAAGTCCTCTTTGTCCCAGAAAGAATAGGACAGAAACACGGAGATGGACCCGAGCGCGCTGAAAACCGAGCAGTGGAAGTTGAGACGATTTCTGTCGGAGGCGGACACGGCCAGGTCGGCGAGGAGCGCGCTGTGATGGAGGTCCACCATGGTAAGGAAGCCATCGTAAAGGCACAGACAGAGCAGGAACTGGAGACCGGGTCGAGCCCACGCCACCCAGAATCCCAGGAACGACAGGGCGAACAGGGGCCCGTTTGTGGAGAGGGCTTTGAGGCGCTTTAGGACCACCTCTGGGGACGTGATCTGCGACCCTGACCTGCAAGAAAGAATCATACGTATTAGTAAACAATCGGCTTATGTTAATGCATGTTTATTTCATTCTTCTACGATTCTGACAGTGATGGTGTTAGCTTGAAACAGGTAAAAGTAACAGGCAAGCTATGATCACACCAGCAATGATCATTTCAACTTGTAAAAAAAAAGAAAGAAGTATGGCGTCATAAAAAGTATCACATTTGGTATTGAGTGTCAAGTTTATTCATTAGTATAGGATCGAGTTTGACATTTTAGAATCATGAGAACATCACAAGCTAACAGCCATTTACTATCATAAAAAAAAAAAGTTATACTGACCTATACTTACAATATCATAGATGGATGCAACAAAGTAATGGGAAAGGAGAAAGATTTGGCCTGTAGGTCTGTGTGTGTTTCTCATTATTGATTATTTGATAGCGATTGAAACAGAAAACAGGTAACCTTCACGGTTCTGTGTACGAGGTGAATATGATAGCAACAACATTATAGAATGAAATGAAATGGGCCACTGCGGCATTGAAAGAGCCCTGGAGTCATGGGCTCAAAGTAATAATTCAGCTTTGATTTTCTAATTCATAACAGCTGGAAAGCACAATTCAATATGCATAAAATAGAAGGTAGAATAAATAACATACATCTATTTGGCTATGCAGGTCTCCACATTGGTGCACATTACTTATTAAGGAATGTAAGGATAGAGTTTAAATAATAAATAAGTCAATGTGTTGGATTTGTTTACTGAAGTCATTAAACACTTGGCTTAATACTCACTGTGGAGAGCTGAGGAAGGAGTGGTCGCTCACCCAGCCGAAGAGTGGGTCATTCACACTGTTCCATATCAAGAAAATTGCCTGAAAACATCACATATTAATAATAATAATAATAATAATAATAATAATAATAATAACAACATCACTTATCTTACATATTACACTTACTACAATTCTTTCCTAGCTGCTCACTAAAGCTGGGACAAGATTCAATCATTCACTCTGGGCTCCAAATTCAACGCATATGATATTATACGACAGGGAGCGCAGTGAGAATTACAGTATACTAATGTCATAATGCAAGACTATAAACGATCATTTTCAATTCAGCAATAAACCAGATTCTACTGGACGTTTCTAACAGATCAAAACTCATTCCTAACATTCCTGCTGAGCTTTTATTGCCATACTAAATCTTTTCCCAGTTTTTCTTCTAATACTGTTATGTGTTTTCAAACTACACTAAAATAGTCCCTTTCTTGGCATTAGCTGAAACTTGAATTTCATTTAACCATTTCTTTCACCACAGCATCTAGCTTTATTAGGAGTCATGAAAAGAAAGTTTTTTGAAAATCAATTGAGTAAAAAGATAAAGTATATATATTTAGATTTTGATTTGATATCTTGACTTAACAATTTACCTCCAAAGAACAAAAAGTCCTCTGTAACTAAAAAAAATACACATCATGTCACACGTATAGTATATATATGTATGGTATTGGTCACACTCTGAACCATACCCAGCCCTACTCCTGAATATTGCCCATTCCTCAGTGCACAGGACGCGCTTACCTCGCCCACCCAGAAGGAGACTTTATCAATCTTGTAAACGGACACAAACGTCTCCACGTAGTACAGTAGAAAGACGTTGTGGAGGATTGAGATGAACAAAGCCAGAGATCCATAAAGCACCGAGGTGGTGAAGACTCCTGTGAGGACAGCCCCCAGACTCCTGCCCATTCTCTCATCGGTCACTTCTGAGCCTCAGCAAGACCATCACAAGACACGGGTCGACACGGGTCATCACGACGCCATGACCTGCGAGAGACATGGAAGCATTATTCATAATACACATATAATGAACTTTTTAAATGTAATGTGAAATTAAAAAATGCCATGAATTAATGTTCAGTTTGACGAACATGGACTGAAGACGATAATCTTTTTGAGAGAAGTGACACTAAACATTAAAGATGACTGTTTGAGACCTATAGTTTCTCAATAGGTTACAATAGGCTCACATTTCTCAAATTAAGTGTGAAATAATAGGAGAAACTGTTCAAAATCAACACAAATATTGTAATTAATTAAGAAAAGCAACAATGATATGTGCAGGTAGTCTAGACTAGAACCATTTCAAATATTTGTATGTGACTTTTAATAGATTAGAAAGACATTTTCTTGTTTAATATCTGACTTTTTGTCCTCAAATGTATTTCTTCTATCTAGTTTAAATGTCACAATGGGTGGACGTATCAGGTTATAATATTGTTGGCAACCCCAATATTGTGGGGAAAAACAAATGTGTTTTGTCATGAAGGTTAAAGAAACATGGACTTGTTGTCACGCTGAGAGTGAAATACTTGAGCTGAGGGTTGTCCTGCTCGCACTCGTCTCAGTTTAGTCACATATAATTTGGATCTACTCAACCGTCTGTGAAGTCTGTGGTTGGAAAAAGCATAAGTCTAATTCAAGAGACACCACAAACATCACAGCACCAAGGAACACACAAAAAAAGTGTCTTCCTGGTCGACATTGGCACTATGGGAGTGTCTCAAATCCGGCTGTGCCAAAAATCCAAAGTAAATCTTTTTCTCATGTGAAACATAATTGAGTTATTTAATCTCTCTCCTGACCTCTTTGTACTGGAGAAAAAAACAGATCCAGGTTTTTTTTTTAAATAGGCCTGATTCTAATATGTTAAGTTTGCACAAGAATAACATATATTAGATGAAAATCCAGAAAAAATCTAGATTTATCAATGTGAGAACATTTGTTTTGATTATTTTTCTTTTCAAATGACCCAGCCTCACTCTCAAAGAGCACTCTTTTTCCCCAAACTTCCAACAATATAAAATTAACTCAAGATCAAAGTCTAACTAAAACCCCATTGTATATAAAAACATGATGGCTTATGTGAATAGATAAAACATTAGGTGAGTTATGAATAGGCTTGTCATGATATTTACCGGCACGATATATTTTTTTAATACAGGTTAATATAGGTTTAATATAGGTTATAGGATATCAACTAATCATTTCAATAACTGATGAAAGAGCAATATAGTAAGGGCCTCAATAATTATCATCTGTACCTTCTCTTTGCAATAGTAGACAGATCGTTGCTATTTTCTAGAACTATCCAAATATTGTATGCTATGCAAAAATAAATGGAATGGAATCACTTTGCTGCATATTTTCTCATTTTAATCTCACATTTCTAAATAAATCCTGAATCTTAGTATGATTAGAAGGATGCCACTGATTACTTAATATCATTATAGAAGCCTTTTTTGATAAAGCTAGTCAAAACAGAACCACCTCTTACATCACGTATTACAGTATGAAGCACTGTAACTGTGTGAATGTGAAATGAATAGTAAAATTTATTCTTACAATAGTTGATAGTAGAATAGTTTCAGGCAGTGTGTGTCTCACTTTGAAGTCGCAGCTGCAGCTTTTCTAAATGATGCCCTTGGGAGAAGAATCCATAGAGCATACCAGAGGGGGTTACTTCATACTTTCCCCCAAAACAGCTCTGTTATAAACTTGGAGAGAGTCATAAAACTACAGGAACGATCTTATGTAGTAGTTTGTGTATGCTATAAAAATAGGCAAAGATCAAAACAAAATGTGCATCAGGAGCAGAGAGAAGTCAATTATAGTTTCACTTCGTGTACGCAGTATTTCAGTCGCCCTCTGTACATTTGAACAGACCAATCATGAGTAATAATGTAAATACAAGCACAATAAACATATGTCGGGTCTGCATATTTGCACACATTCAACTTATTCTGTATTACAGAGAACATTTAGGTAAGTTGAATTAGGTCAATTGGCTACTTAGTGGGGCAAAAGTTGACCTAGGTAAGTTGAATTAGGTCAATTGGCTACTTAGTGGGGCAAAAGTTGATTCAATTGAAATTACCTTTATAAGATTACAATTTGGCATATAGTGGATATCAAAACATCGGAGAAGCAGATAGCCAGTGGGTGTGGGTGAGTTCATACTAACGTACTAACAATTATTATTCAGATGTGGAAAAGATGTTTTTTTGTATCGCAGAATACCAGTGAATATAGATTTATTTTGTTTGAATACACAAGACTAAAATAAAGTGAGAGTGATGCCAGTTGAGACCAGCTTCATAAAGACTAGTTGTAATACAATTGGTTTTGCTAAACAAATGTACCATGTCATTAAGCTCTAACAATCCACCCATGATAAGTCATGATACAATAAGCATCACGATACGAAGGCCCTGATAGGATACGTTTTGCGATATAATATATATTAGTAATTAGTAATTAGTAATCTTTATTTATATACCGCCTTTTCACTGCAGATCTGAGTCTCAAAGCGGTTTACAATTGTTAATTTTGGGCATTTGTCTCTCACTCCACACAGAGATGGGATCGGGGTCGCCAGTACAGGAGGCACATGCCTGAACTATTGGGCATATTTTTAGTGGTAGGGGAAACCGGAGTACCCGGAGGAAACCTACGCAGACACGGGGAGAACATGCAAACTCCACTCAGAAAGGCCCTGGTCCGACCGGGATTCGAACCCAGGACCTTCTTGCTGAGAGGCGAGAGTGCTATCCACTCAGCCACCGTGCCGCCCGTGGCTGCGGCTGTAAAGTGCCAAACTGCCGTTGTGTCCTTAGGCAAGACACTTCACCCCCATTGCCTAGAATGAGTCTGGTGTGTGTGTATGAATGGTTGGTGGTGGTCGGAGGGGCCGATGGCGCATACTGGTTGCCTCGCTTCTGTCAGTGTGCCCCAGGGCAGCTGTGGCTACAGTAGTAGTTTATCACCACCGTGTATGGAGTGAATGAATAATGACACATGTGAAGCGTCTTTGAGTGTCCAAAAAAGCGCTATATAAAACCGATGCATTATTATTATTATTATATTCAAATTTGATTCTTGTATGTTTAGCATAATAATAACAACTCAAAGCAGTCAATTTCCCAAATATACTGCCAGTCAATCTGACACATTTTGTCTTCAAAAGTGCAAAAACAAAGTGTTTTTCAACTGAACGAAACCTAAATAATGCCAAACTGCAGTAATATACTACTGTATTTCAAGAATTCCTCTCTCTCTCTCTCATTCCCTCTCTCTCAAAACCTCTGCCACATCCCCATGGCCACATCTTAAGATCATCTTTTCCAGACAGAAAAAACAAAGAGAGACAAAGACATTTTCTGCAGAGCCAAACAGCATGTACGACAAAAGAAATAACAACGAATGAAAACTGAAATGCAATGATGATTTTACTTTTGTGTATGAGACCAAATAACAAGAATGAAATACTGCAGTCTACAAGATAGAGCTCATAACTTCTGCTGGAGTCTGACCGAAATCTACAATACAAAGCCATAATCAGACAAAAGCGGCCGGCCCTGAGTGTTTTGTTATGGCATACTTCACCACATCTCACAGATAAGATACAATATATCTGTAAGCGGGTAGATCTACACCGCTACAGTGGTCACAGATGTTATCTTGGTGCTGGTTGGATGTCAAAAGCACCTGTAGTTATGATCTCTCTCTTAAAACAGCCCCAACACCTGATAAAAGTAGATATACAGATTTTAAAAGCATATAGAGCTATTCTATATACATATGTTACTGTAATAGTAATTTAACTCGATTTAACTGTTTTATTTTATTGCAACTATTTTTTGTGTATTCTCCACCAGGACGAATAAAAGGTTATCTTATGTAATAATATGTAAGAAAATAATGCATAATGACAGCATCAAATGCAATTCTGTCTTCAAGTAAATCTGTATTTGATTTTCTAAAATTTAAATACATATTTTTTTAATGTATTTTGTTTATATTCAATACATAATAATAATAATCACGCCATAATCATGTAAATATAGCTTCAAATAGACTACAACAGGAGAAACAATACAGTAGACATTCATAGGGATAATATTGAGTAGGATCAACAAAAAAGTGGTCATAAATAGCTTTGGAGAAGTTAGCAGCTCCTAGCATTAGCAGCTTCAGTGATCGCTTACCAGATATAGCAGCTGCTGATCATCAATGGAAAGCACATCGGTCAAAAGAGTCGAATTTATGGCTTTAACCGATATCGCAGGACTGGACGCTTACTCTTGTTCCACCCCGTGAAAGTGAGACGATTCCCGGTGGTCCCCGTGTCTCGCCGGGGAAGCTAACTTGTTGGATCCGAGTGAACAGTGAACAGTGTTGGGATTGAAGACCAAGGAACCAGCCCACGTCACGTCACAACGGCTCACACTAGAAAGGGCGACATCTAGTGGACAAGTTGATATCGCCAAGAGGAAGCTGTAGACCTGAGAACCCTTTTGGAGTATTTTTTGCTGGGAGAGCCCAAAAAGTTTCTGTGGGAGCCCTAATTTTTTACTTAGAATATGTGTAATTTTTTTTAAACAAGATCAACACCTTTAGAGTGAAATATTGTTTTTTGAATTTATTGTTTTGATTTTTATACTGAAGAAATCCAGAGCATGAAAACATTATCTTTTGAATATTGTCTCTTGCGCTCAGACAAATCTTAGTAAGTATTCATAGTTAGAATTTTCAATACATACATGGGGCGACAGTAGCTCAGTTGGTAGAGCATTGGCCTTTGAGCCTGAAGGTCGTGGGTTCGAGCCCACCGTAAGACCTACTACACGTCTCCCACTGATGACTGCTGTCGTTGTGTCCTTGGGCAAGACACTTAACTCCACTTTGCCTGAAGCTCCCACTGAAAGATCTCAGCTCCTGTGGACTCACCACCTGCAGGAGGATCAGTGAGGGGCTGGTGCTCTGTGTGCTGGGTGGCATCTCTGGCCACCCCCCCGACCCAGAAATGGATTAAGGGGAAGAAAATGGATGGATGGATGGATATTTAAAGAGATTCATTTTTCTGTGGTTTTGTGTAATTCATTAGGTTACACAAAATGGCAACATGTTTCTTAAGAGATTGATTAGATTTGATTGGGGAATCAATATTTGAAAAAGTCTGAACATTTGTATTCTTAATTGAATAGCATTGATTCTTTATTTATTTTTAGGCTTAAATATAAAAAATATGTTTACAGCAGAGCATACATCCCTGAGCAGATATATTCCTGCAGTGTAAAAGGGAGTTGAGTTATATTTGGGATGAACAAGACATAAACTAACCATTACCCACAACATGTCCCGATCCTTCATAAAGAGACTTGTAGACTTGCGGAAAAGTAAATAAACTCACTCGGAACAATCCTGGCTTTGGTAATTTCTATTTGTATAGCAGTGGAATACTTCATCTAATTTCCCAATTAATCATTTATTGTTTGGATTATTATTGCAAGGATAATATCATCAAAATAAAAAAGGTGTTGCTGTTTGTTTTGGTTATGTGGCAGCAGACACATTATTTGAGGTCAGTATTTGTCTGGTTGAAAACAAAAAACAAGTCAAAGCAACAGCTGTATCCAAGCAAAGGTGGCCTCTTTCCCCCTGTTTATCAATTATTCTGGGAATCTAAAATGTAAATAGTGTGTATCTTATATCATAAAAAGCTATACATATTATATGTTTATTCATTACATAATAATTTGGAAATAACTCTCTTTGAATTAGTGTTGGGAGAACCTAACATGTAACAGTAGCAGTAGATACTAATATAATATACCTTCTTATTTCAGACCATTTATCCAATACAATCTTCCAACATCAAGCTCATTTCTAACATCAAAGATCTCAGGTATCTTTGAAGTTAGATAGAGTCTAATGTGATTTATTGAATCAGTTTTAAATCACCACTTCACTTTTTATCCCAGTAGGTGGCACTACTACCTCACATAGAATATACCACAAGACCGTGCGTTAATCTTTTCCCATTTGTTTTTCTTTTTTCCCCCTCATCACTTTTTCTAAATAAATAGCCTATGCTCTGGATTGCACATACATATTGTCATAAGCATCCATCCACAGATAGGAGGTTTTATTTTTTTTCCAATTATTGTTAATGATGCCATAGATTTCTCTGAGCGCGAGAGGTTTTAATTACAGATTCATTACAGTCTGCGAATATGGATTAGCTAATTGCCTGTATATTTCACAGAAGAGCTACTGGACAAATCTAATTTACACTTAATCTTTAGGCTGAAAGAGAGAGAGAGAGAGAGAGAGAGAGAGGAAGATGAGGAAGAGGAGCAGAGAGGAGAGGGAGAGGGTGAAGCAAAACAGAGGCTGCAGCATTTACCGCTCTGCGCGCGCTGTGGAGAGAACACCGCTTTGAGATGTGTCACTAAAACTACAGGTATATATTTATTTTCTCATGTCTTTCTCATGGCTTTACCCAGAGTGTATCCAGGTCTTTCTTCTTTCCTTACATAGTGGATTTCTTTTTTCTTTTTTTTAGGTCAATCACACCGCATGACACACGTTTGCTGCAGTCCAGGTCGCACAGGTGCACATGGCGCGGGCAGATATGCGCACGACCCTGGTCTCCTTTAAAAGTCAACATTATGCAAAGTTTAGCAAGAGAAAGTAGAAGCAAAGTATATTTATGAATCATGGATGTAGTCTGCGAACATTAGGCGCGCATAGGGAAATTGTTCACCAGTCAGAGCTAAGTAATCCTCATATATAAGGATGTATAGGCTGGGATTTTCACTTTTGGATTCTGAAGAAGGTTGCAGGTCTGTTGACAAGACTAAAACTATGCATGCGTATCTGCAACAAGGACTAATGCTTGCTATAATTTCAGATGGAAGGGAATTTGCCTTGCGTTACCAGCTGTAGAAAAATAGGTTAACAATTAGGTCAGTTGTAGATGTAGGCTACTCCAGTGGCTCTCAAAGTTTGCACATCACCTCAGAAAATATTTGTCTTCTGAAGGGCCTCCAGATCCAGACAGGTTCTATAATGTCATTTTGGCTCTCAGTCTAAAACTGAACAATTGAAAGACGAATACAGACGTGGATTGCATTGATGTACCGCAGTTTTATGACACTGGTCTTGTCTACCAACAACACATGAACTTATTTGGAGTTTGTTTGTGAAAAATGTATTCTTCATTGTTGGCTTATGAACCTGAAGATGTGCTATGTAATTTTTTGGTTCAGGGCCCAACACCAGCCACTTTCCATTACTTTAATGACTCACTGTATGACCTCAAACTGGCTGGTATTGACTGAATGCAGGATAGACACCTTTGAAAAACACTGTTCTATAGGGCTGTAAACCCAACTAATCGATGCTTAAGGGCGCGTTCACACTACTTCGTCTGCTTCATCTTACAGTAACTGGACAGGTTCACTTTGATCCAGAATTGCTTTATTTGTGGTCATCCCCAAAAGTTAAACAGACTTTATCCAGTAAAAGTGAACCAGACCAGAGGTGTGAATGCACTCTGAAGTAATTGTCAACTCATTTAGTGATACTTTTGTTTTTGGATCCACACAAAGTAGGGCTGAAATTAATAATTCATTAGTTGTTTAGATCATGAAAGCTTAGTGAATATGGATTTTTGTTCGTACATTCGACAAAAACAAAGCTCCAGTGTTCCCCCAGGACAACACCTTCATAGAGATGACCTGTTACACGACAAAACAAAAATGTTGTTGCTCTGCAGTCATAGAATCATCTGTGTCACAAAACCTCTTCTCAGCATGTTTAAGTCTATGTAAGCTTCAAAAACAATACATTGAGAGCTAAATCAGTTGACAACTATTTTAATAATTGAGTTGTTGCAATAAACTTGTGACAGTCCTAACATGCAAATAAAAGCAAAAACAAAAACTCTGGCTCTTTGGCATTCAAACAACTCAAACTAATCAAAAATAATAACTAATTCCACCTCTACAGCCAAAACCAGAGAGGTGAGTTTGTTCACATGTTCAGGCAAATAAACAATAGTCCTGTAACAGATACCTTTCCTTTGATAAAGACATATCAGATGACTGCCTTTGAAAAGAGGTTCTTAATCTCAATGGGACTTTCTGGTTAAATAAAGGTTAAATCCAAAATCAAAAATCAGTCTATCGGCCTTGTGAATATATGTTTACCTTTCTTGTGCTATATACTGTTCTGTAACTGGAGATGCAACACTGAAGTTTCCCCACTCTGGGACAAATACGTTTCTCAGCAAAACTTTGGTGATAAAAAAACCATTGTACAGGTGATAAAATGGACACATGCGCCTTATTGGAAACGGCTTTCCCTTACTCTTGTAACAAACGCTGTAACGATGATGTTGACATTTTGTTTTTGACAGACAGAGGTATCAAACTTTGCTTGGGATCAATAATTGGCGTGAGGGGATTCTGAGTAGAGTTGTTTGGTTATCCTTGCTTCACGTCTCTCTTCATGCATGATGTATTTTGATAGTTGGGGGTCTGCCAAAACCGTGTCTGTGTTTACCTTTCCCTGTGGACTTTCCGCGCGCTTTCGTCAGTGAAACAACACAGAAGGTTATTTTTTTCTATTTCTTTTCTACTCACGTCAACAGCTGGATGAACGTGTGACAGTGAAGGTGACATGTGGGCAGCAGCGACATGGAAACACTTACAGTTCAGTGTACAGTAGACGTGGGCATGTCCGCAAATGTTTTCATATCAGAACAGAAATGTTATTATTTATTTTTATTGTGATTCCTTATGGTTATAGTAAATACCCTGCACTTTTGTGGTCACTTAGTTTTAACTTTAATACAATTAATCTGTGTAGTCGGACTGGTCTTGGTCTTATGAGTCCAGTCTCTTCTCAACCACAGAAACCTAAATCAATCATACTTGAATTTAAATTTTCACTATTCTTTCTCATTGGGGGCCCTGTGTCACTAAGGAGGGCCACAACGCTCCAGACTTTAGGAATGTCAGACATGGGCTATTTATTTAAGCCCATTAATTAGGAAAGTTGTTTTTATTAGACATATCACTGTTATTGTTCTTAAAGCTGGGGTACCTAACGTTCTAGCCACAACAAATATATTTATACAAATGTATATAAATATCTTAATGATTATGATAGTATAACCATCAACTCCTCACTCTCAAAACACTTTGGCTCTATCACTGAAGG